TCTCGCCTACATCGTCCATATAGGACGACTCGGGAACTCAACTCCTACCCCGGGCAGCTCACCTATCCCCTTATGCCCAGGGGAAAGGTATCAAGCCGTTTGACAGCTGATGCTGGCTGTCAAACCGGCTTTTACGCAAAACAGGCGGGAGGCAGCAAACAGCTGCGACCGACGAAATCGCCTGCCACCGGAAGTCCGTTGTGGTCTACTTTGTTGAATGCCTTGCTGAGGTCTAAGTATACTATGTCCACAGCATTTCACTGGTCTACTAATTGTCCCTTTGTCAAAGAATTAAATAAGATTGATTTGGTATGATCTGTTTTTAACAAACCTGTGCTGACTTTTAGCTATTACTTTACTCATTCCTAGATGTTTGCAGATCTGTTTTTTTTTATTATCTTTTTCAGTAGCTTCCCGGGTATTGATGTTAGGCTGATTGGTCTATAGTTTCCTGAGTCTGTTTTTTTTTCTTCCTTTTTTGAAGATGGCAACCACATCAGCTCTTTTCTAGTCTTCTGGTAGATCTTCCGTACTCCAAGATTTTGAAAGATATGCTATAGTGCAGGGGTGTCAAACTGCCAGTCCGCAGGCCGGATGTGTCATGGCAAAACCACGCCCACCCAATTGGCGGCAATGGAAAAAAAAGTTGCAATATGTCGCGACACGCCATGTGATGTTGCAAGTTTGAGACCCCTGGTATAGTGGTTTTGAGATGACATCTGCAAGCTCCTTTAAAACTCTGGGATGTAATCTGTCTGGTCCCGATGATTTATATTCATCAAGTTCAGACAGGTGTTCTACTTTCAGCCTTAACACGACTATGTTAAGGAATTGTGGGTGCCCTGAAAATGGTGTCTGCCTCTGGGAGATCTCCAAAAAGGCAGGCCATGTATCCCTGGGGCACATGATAAATGGACAAGTAGCACTTGCGCCAGTATTGTGCTGCAGCTGCCAAAAAAAGCCAATGCAGTCCTAGGCTGCATCAATAGAGGAATAGTGTCAAGATAACAAAAAGAGATAGAATTGCTTTACACAGTGCTGGTGACACCACACTTAGAATAAAGTGTCCAATTCTGGTCACCATGATACAAAAAAGTTGAGGAGCCCCTGGAAAGTGTGCAAATAAGAGCAACAAAGATGATAAAGGGTATGGATGCTAAATCGTATGATGATCAGTTGTAGAAGCTAGGTATATCTACTCTATCAAAGAGAATCATTAGGAGGGACATGATAGCTGTCTTCCAGTACTTGAGGCGCTGTCACAAAGTAGAGATTGACTTATTCTCTAGGGCACCTGAGGGCAGGACAGGAAGTAATGCGTGGGAGCTTGTTAAAATGAGGTCCAAC